ATTAACCACATGGGTGGCTGCCACTCTACCATTGCAATAAAATTGCAAGGGAAATATGGGCGTGGGGAAGAATCAGTGACATATGGTCACTATGTATATATCCTGGGAAACTTAATGGTGGCTTGACAAAGCTTCCAGAACATGTTATTATTCCAAAGAATGGAAGCTTGATGCTGAATTATTTCTTGAAATACCAGCATACTTTGGGACCCCAGAAGTTGACATGTTTGCTTTTAGACTAAACTATCCATTTTAAGCCCTATGTCTCGTGGCACCCAGATCCACAGGCATGGGCTATTGACGCTTTGCATTGATTGAGTAAATTGTTTCTTTATGCTTTTCCACCTTTTAGTGTTATATCACAAGTTTTACAAAAAGTAGAAAAGTAGCACAATTCTCATCGTGCCGAATTGGCCAACTCAATCCTGGTATCCGATGCTTGCAAGATTAATGATTCACCGAACCATTCTCCTACCCAAAAACAAGCAACGTGAGCTTGCCATCCAATCAAACAAAAGAACATCCACTTAAAGGGAGACTGAGACTGATAGCTTGTCTCTTATCCGGAGATCACTTTCAAGTAAGGGCATTTCACCACAAGCTCAACCAGCAATACTTAATTCCTGGCGGGGAACACAAAACAATATCGTGTGTATCTTAACAAGTGGCAACTCTATGTTAATAAACAGAATGAAGATCCCCTTCATCGAACTTTACAGGTAGTTCAAGACTTTCTACAGCAACTATTTGATCAAGGGATGAGTTACAGTTGCATAAACACTGCTCGAAGTATGTATTCATTATTACTGAAGGGATTACGATTGGTACACACCATATGTTATAGGATTTATGAAGATAGTGTTCCATTCTAGACCAGCACTACCAAGATATCAAGTAATCTGGGACACCTCCATTGTTTAAGAGTATTTAAAGACATATCCCGCACTAGAAGATTTAACTCCACAACAGCTAACTCATAAGTTGGTGATGCTCATATTTGTTACTATTTCTGGGTATGTTTGACACATCTCCAATTAAAATAAGTTATAAATTAATGTCGTATTTGCGTGTAGGCATGAAGTGTGTCCACATGACTTTCAAATCTCGTGGTATCTCTGCGGTAGATGCTAATAGAATTAGGAAATTGAACGATATTACCTGAAGTTGAAGTTCGATTGGGATTCTATTAGCATTTACAGAGCAGAGATTACACGCCAACCCATCATGTTACTGCCTCCCTACATATTGTTTATATGAACATTTAGGCGGTTCATGTGGCCACTATCTTTGAAATATGACCAATGTGCGCATGCGTAGTATCTCGTGTAATCTCTGCTCTGTAGATGCTAATAGAATCCCAATCGAAACTCAACTTTAGGTAAGTCTCGTTCAATTTTCTAATTCTACATGAAGTTTTGCGCAAAAAAATGGCGACAATTAAATTAAAGGAGCGGGGAATTTTGAAATTAAACTGCAAAATACTAAAAAAATGCATCTTTTCAGAAGTACCAATAAAAAAGAATAAAAACAACAAGTGACTTTCTATCTATTTTGAAAATTTTGGGTCCTTTCTTGAGGTGTCCAACGAAACTAATTTTTAAAGCAAATTTTTGAGGCACAGATCACGGTCTAAACATCTTGCAAAGATCTTAGCTACTATATTATACTTAATCCTACACTGGATCTTATTAGGATCTTAGGTAAGATTTTACCATAGGATCTTACAAGATCCTGTATGATCATATGGAATCTTAATTAAAATCTTATAGGGTCTTTAGATCTTAAAATCTGTGTTAATTGTTTCTTTTATGAGAAGAATTCTTTTAAAGAGAAAAGGTAAATTCTGAAAACAAAAAATCCCGTTTTCCGTCCATGATTTCCGATACGCTCGAGCGCATGCACAAATGATTTCTCTATTAAATTGTTACTAAGCATTCTATTTACTTCAAAGTCAGTGCTAGTAGATGTAGTTGGTCATTTCCATGACCATGAACGTGGGCCATGACCTTGAAATATATCGACGGCGCATTTGCAGATGATAATCTAAAAATTTGTGATTGAGCAGGCTAATTACTCCAAAATAAATACTAGTACATACAGTTGGTTGCTGCCATGATCATAAGCTTAGAGAGCTGGTGGGGTTGACTACGCATACTCAGAGTAATTCTCAATTAAATTGTGACCAAGCGAGCTCTCAAATCGGTGCTTGTAGATGCGCTGAGCAAAGTTTTCAATCATATATTTTTGACGCGCTTTTTATCTTCTTTAGCTTGTTTTGATAAATGCGTATATCAAACCGATCAACACTTCAAAAATGATTTTCTTTCTCTCTACAACTTTGTATCTGCATATTTATTGCATGTCATATCCAAGCTTTCCTTTGATTTGAGAGAAAATGGTTTTTACTCACTGTTACACCTTCTGCCTTTATAATTAGTCGTTCTGGATATCTAAATTAAGATTTACGAATGCCCCAAGAGCATTTTCTTTCAATTTTATTGCCACTATTCTACAAATACAAATACTATGTTCGACTAATTGACGGTCCTAATTTTGTATATTGATCTCGTATTTTTTGACAAATGTGCTTACTGTTGGAAAGGTGGATTAAGATCTTATTGGAACTTACTTTAGATCGTTTAAGAATCTATGAGATCTTTAAGAATGTTGAATATGACCATGCGACAATCTTACATAAGATCCTGCAACGTCAAATTTCACAGAAGATCTTAAACAGAATTCTATTAAGAATCTTACATGCAATAACTTATGAAATCGTTTTTCGTGTCATTGTATTAACCATCATAAAACCTAAGTGTAATATCTATTAAACAATTGTTTCAATATATTGACTTAATTTAAAGCGTCTATTAATTTTGACTTGCCTTTGATACTACTGGCCCAAGCTTATCAAAAAATTTATAACTTATTATCGCATCAATCAAGCACAATTTTTATCTTTCTTTCACAAGCCAACTGTTCATGTTTCTTTATTCCCTATTGCTGCTTTCTTAGTTCCAGGAAATATGCAACTTGTAGTACCTGCTCTAATTATAAGTAACCCCTTAATAACCGAATACAGGCGAGGTTTATACAAAAAGACAGAAGTTATTAAAAGGTTTATTATATGGCATTATTTGACCTGAAACTAAGCTTGCTTTCTTTCTCGTCCTTGTTGTTTTTTACTGGTTGGGTTTCACCTAATAGTTTTCGTCCATAAAAGTAAATCGTTTCAAATTGTATCGTCTGGATAGTCAAACTGTTCTCCAAGTGTTTTCTTTCGAATCACATTCGTAAATGGTTTTCGTTTCGTATATTTTGCGTTTTGCTGATTGCATTACGACGTTTTTACATTTGATAGCTGAATTACGCGTTTTGGGCCATGGTCGATTACGGGAAAATGCACCGGCAAAATGTTTCGGAGCCAATCAAAGAGTGACATTTAGCCGGAAGTGACGCTTGCCATTTAATAAGTTCATGTTAATGCACGAGACTTGCATATTTATATTATGGACTTATTGCCACAAACAAATTCTAATTGATCAGATTACCTGCAACCAACATACAATTCACCTTTCCTACCCCATGCTAGGTCAACTATATGTTCTACAATAACGAAAGTTCATCGTTATAACCCAGTCTCTTTTCATGATGTTCGCCAAAAACCTAGAACTTTGAGATAAAAGGTTCGGGCTTGAGATAGATTTCGTGTATTTGTAGAACAACAGAACTTGTGCATTAATAAGGCTTCTTGATTCGTGAAACACCTCGAATGATTACATTTTAACACGTCGCTTTAGAGTGGATTGTCGAAATTATAAACATGTAGAATGATGACGACTATTGCACTGTCAGATGTGATTTGATTTCAAATTTTGCATTCTTCTCATTCTTACTAAACTGGCAAAAGAAATTTATTGTTAGGCCCGTTTTAAACGTCGCATTTTACATACGCCGAATGCATTTAAAACAAAAGAAAATGAGATAAAATCCCTCATTATATTTCGTATGAAATGCAGTCGGCTCATGTAAATTGTGACGTTTGACACAGGCCTTACAACAAGAGGTTTTCACTTTAATGACTTTATGGCACTTTATATATAGGCTGCAAGGCAAACTAACTTCATCAAAGAAACTGCTCTCTTCAGAAATAATTTTTCATTTATGACATATCTTTATAATTCGAGGGGAACACTGTAAAATCGCTCTTGTATATTTGAAATATGATTGAGTTCCTTTAAGGACAGTTGCCACAGAGGAAATAGGACGACAAGTGGGACAATAAGATGAGTGGCCAATACAGAAAACGTTACTTTAACAACATTAGCGGTTTTGTATATATAATCTTTATAATGTGCAAATTGATCACCTGCCTTTGCATTTGAGAAGTACTAATTATCGAACAACTATGCTAAAATTGCATGGCAACTGCTGCCCAGATATAAAATAGAATACGAGGCTTAATCAAACAAATCGTTTTCTTCTCACT